TCGTTGATTGCGCGAGCTACATTGGCTTTAAGGCCCCCTTTCCCCTTTTGTGACGCCAGTGGCCGCTGTGCCGCTTAGGACCACTCCCTGCAGGGCTTGTCAGAGGCGTGGAGCTGCTCCCAAATCGAAACTGACCGCATAACATGCCAGGCGTTGAAAGACTTAGCCCTGGGTGGGCCACGTGTCAGATGCCCAGCTGAGTCCAAATTCCCTACCCAACACTGAGCTTGCTACGTCTCCTCTTCCTTCGATATCTCTGGAGGCGAAAGGCTTGGGCAAGGCATTCTTCCGGCGCAGTGCCCTCACACAGTTGCTGGAGGACATCTGTTGAGTGTTGTTCTGGGCGACGCAGCAAGCTTTGAGTCCTGTCTCCAGGACGCTCTGTGCGGCAAGGAGCAGCTCATTCTTCTGTCCACCGTCTCCCCAGGCCTGGCATGGCCCGCCTTTGTCAGTACCAGTTGAGCCGCAGGAGACGGCCCCGAGGCCAACGGCCGCCGTGCTGCGCCCGAACATTTCCCCGTTCTCGGTGCCAGGCCTTGGAGTACCTGAGGCTCGTGCAGGCAGTCATGGACAGCTCCCACATGACGAAAGAGAGAAATGCTCGGCAAGGCTGGGCGTGCTCCGCGTTGAACCGTTTGATTATTTATATATATATATACAAGCATATATATATATATGTCTGCCCCCCCCATCTACCTTTGAGTTGCCTCTCCAGTGCATGATTTGCTTATCCAGGACTGGGAGGAACGATCTCTCAACTAGGACCAGGACCAAATGAGACTAGAACCCAGGATCTCTCAACTGGACTAGGACAAAACTAGGGCTGGACGACCCACCTCTGATTCTCACAAAAAATGAACTTCAAGTACAACTTGCTCTGGAATGTCCTTTATACTTTCCAACTATTGCAGTAAACATCTAGGACCAAACTAGGACTAGACTATTTTCACTCTACTTCTGATAGTATTTGGATGTCGAGTATTACGTTCTGGTGGAAAGAAACTCGCGTTTCATATTTGGTTTGAAACAGAATAGCCAACATGTTATTTTCCAACTTAACATGTAAATTATGGCTGGATAGTTTCCTTATTTTAAATTATACTGTTCAGTTAGCAGTTGCATAAAACTTGATTAATATATTAACTACAATTCATAAGGAACTTCCTTTGTAATGTGATTATACGTTCTATATAGTTCAGTACTCTAGGACCGTACAATACTAGGCCTAGAACCAAGGATCTCCCAACTAGGACTAGGACCAAACTGGGACTAGACCATCTAACTCTAGTTTTGAAAGTGATTGAATTTCAAGTACAATGTTCTATTGGACAGGAAACGGTTTGTACCATTTAATGTGACATAAAACAATCAATATTGAAGTTTGAATCTAAATCGAAATTCTGGGGTATGTCCTTCTTAAGCTCTATTGAAATTCAATCAGAAACTGGGTTGAATTTGATAAAACACATTAAGTAGAATCTATAAGGAACAAATCCAAAGATCCCAAACTTGTGTCTTTCACTAGTCCTAAAACTACCATGATCAGAAAACACCGTAAAACACAGTGTGGTGCAGCGTTTTTCATGCTCAATTCACATCTCCACCAACGAATGTTCTCCAAATGCTCATTTGAATGTGAACAGGATTTAATCGGGACTCAGGACGGAAACATATGGTCAGAATCCTAAAGGTAATCAAATCTAACACTTCGAGTTTAAATAGAATTCCTTTCCCAATATATTCTTACAATTCAATTAGAGCTTTAGCAGGATTTGATGAGGAAAGAACCCAATCCTGTATTCAACATTCAAGAATATCTCTAGACAAGTCTTCTTTGCAAAAGCGAGTCCAGGCTTGAGTGAAACCGATTGAAACCGACTGAAATTTCAGTTGAGCTTGGGTTCAAGATCCCAAAGAAAAGTTTGGCCTACAATCTTGCATGTGGGCCTGGATTGAAACATATTGAATGAATAATCAGGACTTGCTTGCACAACACTGTGCCAAAGCACAGCCGTGCAAAGCGCAAGGTTGAGTTTGGCTCTCGATTTAATCCGATTTAAGCCGATTTACACTTAAATCGGGCATGGATTCAAGATTCAAGAATTCAGGCCAACCTTTTCCCGGGAATCTTGTATCCAGGCCTCGATTTAAACCGATTTAAACTTAAATCGGGCATGGATTCAAGATTCAAGATTCAAGATTCCCTGGAAAGTTTGGCCTGGATTCTTGAATCTTGAACCCATGCCTGATTTGAGTTTAAATCGGTTTAAGTCGGTTTAAATCGAGGCCTGCATACAAGATTCCCTGGAATGGCCTGAATTCTTGAATCTTGAATCTTTCATCCATGCCTGATTTAAGTTTAAATCGGTTTAAATCGGTTTAAATCAAGCCTGAAGCGTGCAGAATGCCCTTGGAAATGCGTCTTTTTCATTACTCTCCCCAAAGCCCAAAAAGAGGGTTGAAAACACTGCAAATACCAGTGAATTCTTCAAAAAGGTAGGTCCCTGGGGGGGGGGTACCATATATATATATATTATATATATATGTGGAATGAGAGTCTCAGGCGAGGCCCCTTCGGCGCGGTTGGGCAACCGGGAGTCATCCATGCTCTTGCGGCTGGAGATCGAGGCGCGCAGTGATAAAAACCTTGGAGTGAAGCCCAGACTCAGTTGGCTGTGGTTGTCAAAGCCGTTTTGGGATCCCGTTTTGGTTGGTAGGTGAATTCACCACCCATTTTAGAACCTATTTTAGTGGTTGGATTGGGATGTTCACTGGGGGCTAACCGGGCTTTTGACCCATGGCCAGTTGGAAGGCCCTGCAGAAATACATCCGCCCGGGTGACAGGCGCAAGTGTCATTTGATGCCAGCTTGACTCCTTTTTTGTGTTGCTCAGGCCTGACCAGGAAATGAAGCTGAAGGCACAGCACGGTCTCGACATGCAGAAAACGAGTAGTTGGCCCACAGGAGGAGCGGCTGTCCGCACTTCAGCGCGTACTCGAGGAGCCTGCGGCCTGGACACTTTCAATGCACCATCTCTCCTTTGGGATGTGAGCCTGAGGCGGGAGGCCAAGATGGCACCAGCTGAGGCCAGGGCAAGACTCGGAGCTTGGGACTGGCGACTGGCTGTCTGAGAACAGGAGCAAGCTGCCGCCACTCGTCAGGTGCAGGAGGCAGGAATCAGTTGCTTAGGATGTGTTATGTCAGCCTCGCGCGCAGGCCCAGCGATCATCCTTGGCAGCTTGGGGAATTTCCGTGGAGGATAAAGTCATTTCATTTTCAGCCAAAGTGGCAAGAAATGAAGAAATGCCAGCAGTCCATGTGAAACGGTTTTTTTGGAGTCAGTCCACAAAGGGGGCCGCTGCATCGCCGAGAGGAGCTGACTTCTGGCGCGTGCCTGCTCCGGCTTCACAGCGATCCGATGCTTACAGCCTCTCTGGTGGGAAGCTCGGAAACGATGTGCGCGGCACAATGTGTGGAGGGCCCTTTTTTTCTCTTTTTTTTCCCTTTTTTTTCTCCTTCGTTTTTGCTTTTTTTCTTCCTACTTTTTTTCCTCTTTTTTTTCCCCGCTCCTTTTACGGCCAAGGCTTATAACATTTCCCCTTCCGGCTCCAGAGTTCTGGGATCCGGCGGAGACATCCTTTTGCATGCGCAGCCCGCTTGTTTGTGACAAAGTCCACCGGGCGTGATGTTGACGTGAGACGCACTCTGAGCCGATGGCAGGGCTTGGGCGTGGCTCCTGAGCATGGCCAAGTCATTGTGGCGCGCTCAGCTGAAAGGAAAAAACAAGTGTGGCCGTTTTTGACATGTTTCCGAGCGAGGAGCGGGGAGGCAGCCTTTGGCTATACAATCTCTCGGACAGGCCGACGAGCATATTTGCAGCCTTGGTGAGGGGTGTCAAAAGTTCCAAAAGTATGGCTGTTTTTTTTGGGCATTTCGGGTGCCGCCTTAGCAGTCGCCCTTTCAAAAAGGGGATGCTGAAAAGGGTCCCTAGGGTCCCTAGCCAGGCACCGGCTCACGGTGAACGGGAAGATCGTGGCCGAGCCGGAGCCGGGGGTTGAAACCGGATTCATAGGACAGCTTTGCCACGAACAGGAGAGGTATAAGTTCGGCATATCCCAACAAACCAATGAAACCGCACACCGATTTTGCAAAACCAATTTACCAATTTTGCGCAACCGTTTTTTTCCCCCCCGGTTGCGCGCAATTTTTCCCAACCAATTTTATCACTCCTCCACTCAACAATGATTTTGCACGATGGCAACATCGCAGAATTGTGGCTCTTGACTTCCAGAATTGTGGCTCTTGAATTGCTGAGCATTGTGCAGAGACGTCTTCCAGATAGCAAAGTAAGCAGCGCCAAGCTTTTAATGTGTGAGCAGTCACCTAGTTGATTATCCGCAGACCTCACAAGCACCGGACAGAAGTTGCCAATCTGCCATGTGCGCGGTCATCCCGATACAGAGGCCTTGGCGTGCGGGAAGCGCAGATTTGCGGCGGCGAAGCTTTGGTGAGGCAACCTCAAGAGCCCTGTGAGACGGGAGCCAGCTCCTGAATTTATGCGAGAGGGGTGCGTGAGTTGTTCTGGAGTCTTTCAAAATGGTGGGCCCCTTCTTGGTTGAGCGGAAACCAAAAGGAAACCAACCATTTTAGGGGACCACTATTTTGACAACCACCCTATTTAGAGCGTCCAACCGGATTGCATTGTCCTGTAAAAGCAGATACCCGATGTGAAGCACAGGCTCAAGCTATTCTCCGAAAGTTCATTGCCCGATGGAACATTCACCAGGACCCAAAGCAGCACTCAATCAAGCGCAAAGTACGTAGATCACACAGAGTCACAAACATATGCAACAAAAGTTTGATTACGACATCAGAAGGAAAGATCGGAAGGCTTCCAGCGATTCGAATCGCCAATGGCATGGCCAACCCCCTGCTGGAGCGTCACTCAGTGTCCCTTGTAAGGGGCAATCCCAGCCATAAATACTTGCGGCCGCCCATGT